TAGAATAGAATAGAATAGAATAGAATAGAATAGAATAGAATAGAATACTTTATTGGCCAAGTGTGATTGGACACACAAGGAATTGGTCTTTGGTGCATATGCTCTCAGTGTACATAAAAGAAAAGATACATTCATCAAGAATCATAAGGTATGACAGTTAATGATAGTCATAGGGTACAATAAGCAATCAAATCATACTAGGAAACAGTAAAAATCGTAAGAATACAAGAGACAAAGTTACAGTCATACAGTCTCAAGTGGGAGGGGATGGTTGATAAGGAGTGATGAGAAGATTAACAGTAATAGTAGTGTAGACTTTGTAAATAGTTGAACAGTATTGAGGGAATTATTTGTTTAGCAGAGTGATGGTGTTCAGGAAAAACCTGTCCTTGTGTCTAGTTGTTCTGGTGTGCAGTGCTCTATAACATCGTTTTGAGGGAAGGAGTTGAAACAGTTTATGTCTGGGATGTGAGGGGTTTGTAGATATTTTCACAGCCCTCTTTTTGACTCGTGAAGTATACAGGTCCTTGATTGAAGGCAGGTTGGTAGCAATTGTTTTTTCTGCAGTCGTAATTACTCTCTGAAGTCTGTGTCTGTCCTGTTGGGTTGCAGAACCAAACCAGTTATGGAGGTGCAAATGATAGACTCAATCATTCCTCTGTAGAACTGGATCACAGGTCCACAAGTCTTAAAAGTTGCCAAGGTTGGACACACCTGAATTAAACCATCCTAGAGAGGTGGCTGTCCAGCCTCTTCTAAAACCATCGAAGAAGGAGAACTATGTGCTGACTTTCAGTGACAGCATTTTTGGTAACGTCCTCTTTCCTTCCTTCTAGCCCCTGAGCATCAATGGAGACAAAGAGTACCTGGAAGACCTAGACGGACCAGTGCCCTATTCCTTACGCCCCGTCATTGCTGTGGCCATCTGCCCCGCGGAGGAGAACAAGGAAGCAGGCCTCCTGCCGGTCAAGGTGGATTTAGACAAGACTGTCCTCTAAGAACCTGCCCCTGCCTCCCCCACCTCTCCCCTCCTCCTGAGTTCCTTTCAACACAACCGCAACAATCTTTCCATGATGCTTCCCAGCCTCTCCCATAGCATATTTTGTCATCTCTCTTTCATCCAGGAAGGTCTTGGAGAAGCCCAGCACCTTTCTGCAAGGTTCTGCTGGAATGCCCAAGTTTTCCAGCAGCAACACTTTGGCTGTTGAGAAAGAGTGGGCTAGTGAGATCCTGGTTCTCAAAGGCTGCCATTGCGACTTTTGAAATGAACAAGCCCTGGTGGTCCCCAGCATAAGATCCTGAGGTGGGCCAGGGGGGATTTTGGGGAAATTTGCTTCACTTTACTGAACAAGGATGGGCAACTGCCATTGGGGAGCTGCTGCTTCTCCTGGCTTTCTTTTGTCTAAAAGAATTGGGGGGGGGGGATTAATGGGGCGATGCCTGCTTTTTATTTGAGCCTTGGTGGGAAAACTACATGCAGAAAAAGTCAAGGGTTGCCGATCATGGTAAGTTTGCTGTTATTCTGTGCCCTGATTTGCCTGACAGATAAGGGTAGGGTTCCCTGAACCATGATTTCCTGAGAAGCCACAGCTGCCTAGGTTGACCCGCTGCATGAAACCATGGTCTGCATATTTGAGAGGTTGCGTTTAGTTTAATATTTACTTCATAAATTTATATGGCTGCCCATTTCACTTGAATATGGCTCTTGGGTAGCCTACGACCAACACTTAATATCATAGCTGCTTAAAAAAAAATGGAGCATTCAAATCAAAGTAGGATTGCAAGAGAAAAACCACATCTATCTAAACACAGTTTAACCATCCTGTGGGCTTCTTGAATGGGTCCCCAAGCCGGTTGGAAAATCCACATTTCCAGGGTTTTCTGAAAGACTAGCAGGAATGGGGCTGTCATTGGTGGGGATTATGCTTCAGAGGGTAGGAGCCACAGGCAGAAAAGGCAGTATGCTAAGCCACAGAGAAACAAACCACCTTACAGCTTAGATTGCAGTGTGATTCGGCCTATACTTCCTTCTTTCTTTTCAACCCCACACCAAAATATATTTTGTCAGACAAGATACAGAGAGAAGACAGATTCCTCTGGATCAATGTTTCCCAACCTCGGCAACTTTAAGCTGTGCGGACTTCAATTCCCAGAATTCCCCAGCCTCTTTCTGAAGTCCTCTTTTGGGACTTTGGCCGCCAGCAAAAACTGAACAGAATGGGACCATATGAGATATAAGGCGACAAGAGAGACAATTGAGTTTGAAAATGGGTTGGACCTGGCTGAATGGGAGCTATAGGAGCTGTGGGAGACTCCCCCCCCCCCCCCTTTCCCCTAACAGAGAGACGGTTAGGCACCGGCCCCGGATGCTGCCATGTCCCTCAATTCTAAGATCCTTCCCTTCTGATCACATGACCAAGAATGGAGCTGCCGCCACCTTCACTTTAAGCCTCCTCCTTTTTGATCACATGATCCATTCTCCATTGTAAGCTTCCTCCCTCCTGGTCATGTGACCCAGAATGGAGCTGTCCTTCATTTTAAGCCCTGTCCTTCCTCTTGGTCACATGATCCAGAGTGGAATGTTAGGTCCTCCAATCTAAGCCCCGTCCCTCCATTTTGAGCCTCCTTCCTCTGGGTCACATGACTCCGAAAGGAGCTGCCACTACTTCCATTCCAAATTCCTCTCTCTCTTTGTCAAGTGACCCAGAATGGGTTTTATACTTGCCCTGTGTTTCCAAGTTCGCTCAGACACAAATAGGTGCAGCATGAACAAAGAGCAGAAACACAATGCATTATTACAATACTCACAAGAAACTAGGCACTTATGGCTACTGCTTGGAAAGACTTCCAGAAGCTGTTCTCTGTTGCCTCTACCTGTTTTCTTTTTTCTCTTCTGACAGGGGGCCTCTTCTTTTGACTCTGTGAATTTGGGATCTATGGCAAAATCGGATCACAAGCTAGAACTGGCCTAGATCTAAGAGAAATCTAAGAGAATGCTGATTCCCTGTAGGCCTGCACTAAGGACCTGGTCTCTGGGGCTGGGTATTCCTTTCTTGGCACTGCAATGCCAGTATTCCTGCATTGCAGGTCAGATAAAGAACTGTCAGCTTCATTCACACAACATGCGTAGCTTGATTAGTATTAGCCTTGGTTCAGTTCTCTGTGGTTTAGTTGGGGGGTGGAGTTAGTGTTTTTTTCAATCTCTCTTCATTATAATATAACTCAAGGTAGTGAACATACCTAATACTCATTTACTCACTCCTATTTTTCCACAACAATAACCCCTGTGAAGTGGGTTGGGCTGAGAGAGGGCGCTTGGCCCAAAGTCACCCAGCCAGTTTTCACCCTTAAAGAGGGGAGGACTAGAATTCAGTCTCCTAGTCATTGGCCCCAAATCACCCAGCCAGCTTTCATGCCTAAAATGGGACTAGAACTCACAGTCTTCTGGTTTCTAGCCTTTTCTAGTCTTCACCACTAGATCAAACCAGCTCTCTTGTTGGTTTTATTCTGCAGATCCAGAACAATGGGCGAACTCGGTAATCATGTTAAGTATGCTAAAGGGAAGTAGCCTATTGTGTACTGTGTCTCAACACTGAGGCTCAAAATCTGAGGTTTTCCCTCAAAGCTACCCTGTCTTTTTTAATTTAAAAGTCCCACGTGATTGGGAAACACTGAGATAAGAAAACAAAATTAAGAGTAATGGGGTACAGGGCTTCCTTCCTCAGGGTCAATGAAGCAAAGCAAAGTTTGCTCCAAAATAATTCTCAACCTATCGTCTGCCCTGATTTTACTCAGAAACTCCTCTGAGTAACACAGGGATACGGTGTTGTGGTTGTCACTGTTGTTGGTTCTGTTAATTATTATTATTATTACTATCATTCTGCCCTTGATGAATGCAGGGCACTTTTGCGAACCCAGGACGTGTTTGTGAGCAATGCCCACCCTCCCATTTTCTCCCTTCTGGAACCTCACCGTGTACAGTCGTATCACAAGTGCAAAAAGTTTCTTCCCTCACAAACTGGTGTAATTTTTTTCTGCTTGCTTGTACATTCGGCCTAAGGATTCTCTGTACATAGATTTAACTTATCTCCTCACCCCACTTTTGGCTCTCTAACTCCCTCCCCCACATATCAGGGTGCCTGTCTGCGTGTGCGTATGTGAAAAAAAGGTGGTGTCTGTGACCACACAAACAAGAGCCTCACACACACACACACACAAAAGGGTGGATCTTTGATCTTGATGTTGTGGTCACCATCTTGTCCTTTTTTAAGCCCCTTCTGCAGAGACATTTGCTGCATATTCTGAGTTGAAAATACTGCTGAAAGCAGTGGTGGGATTCAAATAATTCAACAACCGGTTTTCTGCCCTAATGATTTCTTCCAACAACCAGTTCACCAAATTGCTCAGAAAGTTAACAACCAGTTCTCCCGAACTGGTGCGAACTGGCTGAATCCCACCACTGGCTGAAAGTGTATGGGGCAAGAGCTGTCCCCAGTCTGGTGCCCTCTAGATATGTCAGGGCTGTAAATCCCAGAATGGGAAGTCAGCATCCTAGCTGGAAGGCACCAGGTTGAAGAAGTCTGGGTGAAACCAATCCGGAGCCTTTAGTATGGCTAAAAGGAGCTTGCTTTGCATTCAGTAACTTTTTAGATTTTTGAAACTCTTAACTCTTTAAATATATTCCGGCATTCTTCACATCGGAAGGGAGGTTACATATTAGGGAGGTTTATATATATTTTATATCTCTCTGAAGTTCATTCATCTTTCATCAAAACGTCTGCATCTAATTATTTGCGTGAAAAAAATAAGCTATCTTCATCGTACCTTTGTTCTGCCTGGCTTGTTTTAATTCCCTTAAAATTGTCTTTTCTTCCCCACTTCCTAAACTCTACTTTTTCTTTTCTCTTGGGAGAGAGTTACAAAGGCATAAGGCCTTGGTTGAACTGAGGTGAGATTTGTTGAAGACCTGTATCTGTTAATTGTATCTGTATCTTTAATAACCCTTTCTGTCTGTCCCAGAAATCCGGAAAAGTTGTTTATTTAGTTTATTAATTTAAATTTTAAAGAAAAGAAACAATAAAATCAAAGCTGTGAAAAGGAACTGGCATTTTTACTATTTTTTTTTTTTAGTTTTAAAGTTTTTTTTTCTTTTCTAAAACTTCCCATCAACAATCTGGGCTGTGTGCTCATTGCAAGAAAGAAATTGGGAGATTCAGGCCTGAATAACTTTACATTTATTACAGATACACTTTTACAGAAATGTTTCAGGACTTAATTCGCCTGATTAAAGACATATAATTTACGAGATCGTGTGAGGTCCTTTGTAGCTGATGCCTTCTGCACATCTTTGCATAAGTTTACACATGTTTTCACACAAATAAAATGAAATGGAAGAACAAGGTATGTTTCCTTTGTCTTCAGAGGATCCATTTATGCTTTGTACAGTGTTAGAAGAGGTATCCTATTTTCTGTGAAGGAAAAGTGATAATGCCTCTTCTTAATTAGAGGTGCGCATTCTGAACTTCTGGCTGTGTGGGTGGCAAAACCTTGGATTGGCTCATTAAAAATTCCATGAAATTATAATGGGGAAAGGTTCATCTAAAGGCTTTATGGAGAACAAGATTAGCCTTGAGGGATCAATCCAAGGACCATCTTAGTTAGCATTTTTCTCATAGCAGCCCAACCAGATTTATATCTTGATTTTATTCACATCATCTGTAGCCCAGCTGATTCTGATATGCCCCAAGGATACAGTACTCACAAGTGGGAAAATGTGAATACCTCACCCTGCATATGGAATTATTCCAAATATTTGGAGGTCTGCTTCCTCCAGTAATAACACTGAGTCTTGAAAACTGATCATCCTTGATATTTATTTTTAACCCACTTTTATTGTTTTATAAATATATACACTTGTTTTGTTTGAATTTATTTAGTTCCCATTTAAAGCCATGTAATGTACAGACAGCTCCCTGACTTACATCAACAATTGTAAGCTGTTGCAATGATCAGTTGAGGTAGACCTAATTTAGCGACAATTTTTTAACCGCAGTCGTGTGCACATCACTCTGGTTGTTAAGCAAGTGATTATTGTCATTAAGTGAATCCAGCTCCCCAATTGCATTTTTTAACAGAAATTGGCAAAAAAAGTAGCAAATCGCAATCACATAATAGTAGGATGGTGCAACTTGATCATAAATATGAGCCGGTTGCTAGGCGCCAGAAGTGTGATCATGTGATTGTGGGAGTGGTGTCATAGTTGTAAGTACAAGTATAATTAGTAAATCACTTTTTCTAAGGCCATTGTAACTTTGAATTGTTGTTAAACGATTGCTTATGTCAAGGACTCCAACTACCTATAACTACCATGTCTTCTGGTAGTAGAGATGGGAAACAATGGCTGCTTTATGACTTGTGGACTTCAACTCCCAGAATTCCTGAGCCAGCCCACAAGTCATAAGAGGGCCATTGTTCCCCACTCCTGCATTCCACTGATAAATTATAAAGAAATGTTCTTTTGTTTTAACTCCTTCCAGTCATCTTCGCTGGACGATCTATGGCCCTAGTATTTGAAGAGAAGAAGAAATACAGGTAGTCCTTGACTTACAACTGCAATTGAGCCCAACATTTATGTTGCTAAGTGAGGCATTTATTGAGTTTTGCCCTATTTGATGACCTTTCTTGCCAGAGTTGTTAAGCGAATCATTGCAGTTGTTAAGTTAGTAATGTGCTTGTTAAGTGAATCTAGCTTCCCCATTGAATTTGCTTGTCGGAAGGTTGCAAAAGGTGATCACATGATCGCAGGTCATTGCAACCGTCATAAATGTGAGTCAGTTGCCAACTGTCTGAATTTTGATCATGTCATCATGGGGATGCTGCAGTAGTCACAAGTGTGAAAAATGGTCATAAGCTACGGTACTTTTTTTTATACTGATATTGTGACTTTGAACAGTCACTAAATGAACTGTTGTAAGTTGAGGACTTACAACATTACCAGTTTGGGTAATGAAACATCTGCAAGAAAATAAACAAGCTCAGAGAGCACCAAGGACCCCTCATGTCAACCCTGAGCTACAAATATTTTCCTTTATTGGTAAGCTAAATAATCCCTGTTTAGTCTTTTTCTTGTAGGAAACGGGTATAAATATCTTGATAACTTCATTCTCCCATCTGGAATTGTACACAGTATTCCTGATACACATATACCCTAAGACCTCACACAATTGTGGGAGAAAAGAGGAAGGAAAGCCCTTGAGTTTTGAAAAAAGAAAATATTTTGCAAGAGCTGTCACAGCAACACTTGGTTTGTGCAACATGTTTTAGTGAACTCTGTCTGTGGAGGCACTGATTTCTGATTATACCATCCATTTTTAAAATCTGTTCTTTACCCCGTGTGCATGTGAAGTGACAGCTGCCTTGCTGTTTTGCAGCAGCTGAGAGCTGATGGACTGATCCCTGATCCTGTTATAAAGAGATTGCTATATAGAGTATCCCTTCTCAGATAAAAGCTGCTCTCTGCAAAGTGTTTATTTGAAAATATAATAAACCTGAATGAAAATGAAAACAAGACTAGTGCAAAAAGGAATGTTGGGTAAAGCCGGTTTCTCTTTGTGGGAGGGAAAATTTCTAAATATTGCAGAAGAGAATATAAAAGAGCTCTGCATTCTTTCTTGAAACACACCCACACACACACTCCAGCCAGCATGAGGAATTCTGGGAGTTGAAGTTGATACATCTTAATCACTGGCCTAGCTAATGGAAGCTCCAGAAAATTCTTTTTACCCTTAGACCTAGAAAGGGAATGTGCCATGGGTAATATTAAAAAAAATTCATCAAAGATTACAAATATGAAATATTATAAGATGTTTTGCCTCTGACTCGCAGAGGAGAAACATTAATATTCTCTAGAGCAGTATTTTTCAGCCTTGGCAACTTTAAGATGGGTGAATTTCAACTCCCAGAATTCCCCAGGCAGCATGCTGGCTGAGGAATGCTGGGAGTTGAAGTCCACCCATTTTAATGTTGCTAAAGCTGAGAAACACTACTGTAGAGGAAAAAGGTGTTTTTTTTTTAATCCTTCTATTCTCATAAAGCACAATTTCTTTTTATTTATTAACGTTTCTCTTCAGGACAGAGTCACCAGACAGTGCTTTTTTCCTGCACTCATCTGGATGAGGCCCAACAAAATTTTTGGCCAGGTTCATACTCTAGCTGTGTTTATGTGATATACTTAAGAGTGATTAAGCTCAATTTTCTTGGTTTACATGACATTTGGCTAGGTTTAAAACCCATGCTAGCGTTGACAGTTACAGGGTTGGGTGATTGGGAGTCCTGAATATCTTATTCATCCAAACATAGGCTCAATTTGCACAAATATTAGAAATATTACCACAGAGGCTGCACGGAGATGGCCTTGAAGGAGGAACACAGTGCAGCAGCCATTACAAAAACAAAAACATCAGCTTTGCCCGGAAGACGGCTGAATGAGAAACTCAAGATCTCTCTCCTTAACTCTCTGAAACAGAAACACTGTTGGGTTTTCAAGATGTTATTGCAGCCTATGCCAATTCAGTAGACTGTTAGTATTTCTTGAGGTCTGCTTGGTGACCTGGTTTACCTCAAAGGGCTGACAGGTTGGCTAATTTGTGGTCCTGTAGCAGACATAGATGATTAATGTCTCGAAAGGAGAACTGAACCAGGTATCAGATTCCCTAATCCAAGCATCCCTTTAGGTATTTTGGACCCTCATTTACGACCACAGTCAAGAGCAGAATTTCCATGGCTAAGCAAGATAGTTATTAATACCAAGAGCAAGCGCACTTGGACTTATATACCGCTCAGTGGTGGGTTTCAAAAAGTTTTCCTACCAGTTCGGTGTGAGTGCGCGCTGTGCACATGTAAAGCGCTTGCAACTCACCTTCTGCAAGCCCTGTGTGTGAAACAGCTGACAAGTGGCAATCAGCTGTGCCGTGCAAAGCAGCTGAGGTTGAAAAGCAGGAAATAAAGGTCAATATAGGGCCAGGACGGGTGGTCCTGGCCCAGCAACTGATCATCGGAGCAAATCAGTTCGCTCACAGATGATAGTCGGAGCTACCGGTTTGGCCGAACCACGCTGAACCGGTAGAATACCACCACTGATACAGCTTCACAGTGCTTTACAGCCCTCCCTAAATGGTTTACAGAGTCAGCCCGTTGCCCCCAACAATTTGGGTCCTCATTTTACCTACCTCGGAAGGATGGAAGGCTGAGTCAACCTTGAGCCAGTGAGACTCAAACTCCTGGCAGTTGGCAGAATTAGCCTGCAATACTGAATTCTAACCGCTGTGCCACCACAGCTCTTTTAAGTGAGTCACATCCAATTTTATGATCTTTTTTGCCATGCTTGTTAAGCAAATCACTGCAGTTAAGTCAACTGTGCAGTTGTTAAGAAAATGCGGATTTTCCCCATGGACTTTGCTGGGCTGCCAACTGGCTGGAAGGTTGCAAATGGCAATCACATGACTCTGGGATGCTGCAACCGTCCTAAATACATGCGGGTTGCCAGGCACCCAAATTGAATCTTCACCATATCCATTGGCTTGCAAATTTTGACACCCCTGGATGTTCGTGGATCAGGAATTGTCATCCTAAGTGCCTGGAAGGCTCAAGATGCAATCCCCATTTAAACATAAGAAAAGCAATACAGGTAGCCCTCGATTTACAACCACAGTTGAGCCCGAAATGTTTGTTGCTAAGTGAAAAGTTTAAATGAATTTTGCCCCATTGTACGACTTTTCTTACCAGAGTTATTAAGTGGATCACTGCAGTTGTTAAGTTAGTAACATGGTCATTAAGTGAATCTGGCCTCCCCCATTGACTTTGCTTGTCAGAAGGTCACAAAAGGGGATCACATGATCCCCGGACACTGCAACCATCATAAATATGAGTCAGTTGCCATGCGACTTAATTTTGATCACATGACTATGGGGATGATGCAATAGTCATGTGAAAAACTGTCATAAGTCATTTTTCAGTGTCATTGCGACTTTAAACAGTCACTAAATGAGCTAGTATAAGTTGAGGACTACCTGTAGGATATGTTTTGGATTGCTATATTAAAAA